CGCTCATTTGAACTGGTGATCCCACAAGGTACTAAGTGGTCCCAGATTTTTTAATACTGTGCACACTGAGTGTTATGACCCAGTCTATGCTGACAAGGCATCTCAGGCCAATTGTGTCATATATGAAGGCAGGAAAAATAAAACGTTTATATACGTTTGGGGCACTAGTGGCAAGAACGTATATATACATTTGGACCGTTTATGGGTTAAACAAGAAGCATACTGTACTGGTAGTGGGTTTGGGTCAACCATCTTTAGATAATTTTAATGTCACCCTTGCACCGTTCATAACATTTTTAGTAAACAGCCTCTCCTCACTTAGCGACGTACTCATTTACCGACGCCTCGGACTTACGATGGGCTCTCTGACCAGTATTCATACCTAAACAATGTAGGTTAGAGCTGATTTCCTCTATTCTGTTTATTTCAATATACAGTACACTATTGTATAAACATTTAAAAATATACCAGAAATGTTATAAATGGTGCAAAGGTGACATTAAAACAATATCAAAGATGGTTGACACAAACTCACTACCACTATAATATGCTCCTCACTTAGCGACGAATTTGTTTAACGACGTAGTCTTAGGAACAGAACTCAGGTGTTAAGTGAGGAAAGGCTGTATTTTTAAATGTTATACAGTAGTGTAGTGGCGTGCAGAGGGGAGGCCGAAGGGGCGGTGGCCCCAGGTATCAAATGGGGGGGGATGGCATCCAATTAGAGAGGGCTATAAGATAGTATTTTTAAATTTCAGCAGTAACAAATTAATTTTTGAAAACTCACAGCACTACAGAGGCAGAGGTGTTCAACAAAAAATTCTTGAAGTTAACCCAAAAGCTGTGTTTGTGAACTACAAGAACCACAGCCTGAATTTGACCTGTGTTTACACAAGTGAGGTGCAACCTGTTGTTGTTACATTTTTTGGCATTCTGGAAACACTAATTTTTTTTTCTTCATCTACTTCTTCAGACTGTGAAGACACTGCGATACAAGATGGAGTTCGCGCCATGATTCTGTGCAAGTACAGGTCTCCCTCAACATTCGCGTTTTCCACTTTCTCAGACTTCAAACATTCGCAAATTCCCAGCCGCCAAATCATATTTATGTTGAGGACTTTGAAGGTGATGAACGACATTGATAGAGGCATAATTCCCTACAAAACTCTGTTTGTAGATATGAAGAAATAGTCCCAGTTGCCCATCACAATGTTCTTCACAAGGAAGCCTGCCACTACAGTCTCCATCCCTTTACCCAAGGTCCTATCAAAGCTAAAACCTTGGGTAGTTTCAAAGTTTCAGAGTGGTGACCTGTACTTAGACCTGTACTTAGCTCAGTGGTGACCTGTACTTAGCTCAGTGGTGATCTGTATTTAGCTCTGTGAAGACTTGTCTGTGTGCTCTCTGTGAATCTGAACCAAGGTGTCCTCTCTAGAGCAACTCTACCAGCAGCTAAAAGAGGAGCTTAGGGTTGCTAAGCTCGAGATATGGCGATTGACGGAGGGAAACAAAAGGATTCGTAGTAATCCTCCTCTTGTGAGTCCTCAGGTCAAGAGGGGAACCTGGTCAGAGGCTGGGCAATATGGAAAGAAGCTGAAGATCAAGAAGACTGCTGGAGTGGTAGAAACAACAAAGAACCAGAAGACTACTGTGGAAACTTCCAACCCATTTTCAGTGCTACCAGACGAATGTAGGTTGTCTACTGGGAACGTCACAACGAGCACCAAGGAAGCATTGGCAAATGAGAGTGAGTCGACATCCCTTGAAACCTCAACGGAGATCATCGAGAACGTCACGAACTCCTCCAGTTAAAGTAAGAACATTGTTTTAGTTGGGGATAGTCAGGTTAAGTTTATGGATAGGGCTTTTTGTCTTAGGGACAGAAAGGGGAGGCAGAGGGTATGTTTTCCTGGGACTGGGATGGGGGATATTGTTAGACGTCTAGACAATATCATGAAAGGTAATGGGAGCAATCCTATTATCTGCTTCAGTGCGGGAGGCAACAATGTTGGCAGATGTAGGAGTGAAGACCTGATTAGCAGGTATAGAACAGCAATAGAGATGATTAGGAAGGAGGGTGGGAACCCTGTGATATGTGGCATTTTGCCCAGGAGAGGAGTTGGAAATGAATGGTTGTCCAGGGCAATTGGTGTCAACTGCTGGCTGGACAAACACTAAGGAGAATTCGGTGACATTCTTAGACAACTGGGACCTCTTCTATGGTAGAAATGACATGTATGCCAGGGATGGGGTTCACTTATCTAGGTTTGGGGTGGGAGCACTGGCCAATGCAGTGGAGGGAGCTCTTAGGTCTTTAAACTAGAAATAGATAGTGGTATGGGTTTTTGTGGAAAATCAATGAATTCTCAATGTAGCAATAGTGAGAGTTTTAGGGAAAACAGTAACAGGCAGAATGAGGTAGAGTTATTGGTGAATATTGGAAACCCAGTGGCACTAGATGACAAGGACAGTAACAGGTATAGTGGAGGAACAGAAATCAGGAGGAAGTGAAAAGAGAAGGGAGGTTTTCTAAAAATATTTTACACTAATACATTTTTTTTTTTTTCAACAAGTCAGCCGTCTCCCACCGAGGCAGGGTGACCCAAAAAAGAAAGAAAATCCCCAAAAAGAAAATACTTTCATCATCATTCAACATTTTCACCACACTCGCACATTATCACTGTTTTTGCAGAGGTGCTCAGAATACAACAGTTTAGAAGTATACACATATAAAGATACACAACATATCCCTCCAAACTGCCAATATGTAGTGCAATAAAGGTAGTAGGTTGGTACACAGCAGCCGCCCAGGGAGGTACTACCGTCCTGCCAAGCTAGTGTAAAATGAAAGCCTGTAATTGTTTTACATGATGGTAGGATTGTTGGTGTCTTTTGTCTGTCTCATAAATATGCAAGATTACAGGTATGTCTTAATACTTCTACTTACACTTAGGTCACACTACACATACGTGTACAAGCATATATATACACACCCCTCTGGGTTTTATGCTATTTTCTTTCTAGTTCTTGTTCTTGTTTATTTCCTCTTATCTCCAAGAGGAAGTGGAACAGAATTCTTCCTCCGTAAACCATGTGTGTTGTAAGAGGCGACTAAAATGCTGGGAGCAAGGGGCTAGTAACCCCTTCTGTATATATTACTAAATGTAAAAGGAGAAACTTTCGTTTCTCCTTTTGGGCCACCCCGCCTCGGTGGGATACGACCAGTGTGTTGAAAGAAAGAAGAAGGCATGTAGTGCAAGAAATACGATGGACAAATTGAGATTAGTTGCAAGTCTTCAAGGACTCAGTGACCGATTTTCATTTCTTCTGAACTTGAATTCAGTAGTAATTAAAGATGGACAAGAGAGAAATTAAAAAAAGAATGTTCAGACTTTGCAAATTATTATGATAATGAAGTGGCAGCTATTAAGTTATGACAAAATTTTGTGATGCTCCATCAAGCTGGAGGGAATAGAATTCCCCCTGATCCTAAAGATGCTCTGGAGTCTTTACTGCAGTATGGGAGGGATGTCTTTCCTACATTGTGTGTTTCATACTGATTACTGCCTACAATCGTATTTTCAGCTGCAAGTTGTAAAAGGTCATTTTCAAAACTGAAATTAATAAAAACATATCTAAGGTCTTCAATGTCACAAGAGCAACTGACCAACCTGGCTTTAATAGGCATTGAAAAAAATTTTTTACAGCTGATGTAAAAAGTGTAGTTATTCAAGTGTTTTCTGACAAGAGGTATCATTTGGGGAAAAGAACTTAATAAATTTGGTTGATTTATATTTAAATCAAATAAAGTGTTTATTTCATGTTTCATCTGTGTTTACATATTCAAAATATCTCCTTTTCTCATTATATTTCTCAGTACTAGGCCTTAAACTCAAGTCTTTGGGGCATACACTCAAGAAGTTGGCCCCGGGCATCACCAGATCTCTGCATGCCCCCGCAGTAGTGTACTGTATACTGTAATAAACAGAATAGAAGAAATCAGCTCTAATAACTTAGAAGTTTGCATATTGGTCATAGAGCTGGTCCTAACTCCAAAGCGGTCAGTAAACGAGTATGTCACTAAGTGAGGAGTGACTGTAATTTTTTTTTTTTTTATCATGTTAGCTGATTCCCACCAAGGCATGGTGACCCAAAAAGTGGTTCCTAATATGTTGAATTATTTAGCAAATAGTTTAACCCTTAAACTGTCCAAACAGATCTATGTTCACATGCGTAGTGCCCCAAAAGTAAATCTATGTTTTTTTACATATTTTCAAATATAACAAAAAAATGGAAATGGGAAGTACAATGCCTGCACTCTAAAGGAGGGGTTTCGGGATATTAGCAGTTTGGAGGGATAAGTTGTATATCTTTATACGAATATGCTTCTGAGCTGTTGTGTTCTGGGCACCTCTGCAAAAACAGTGTGAGAGAATGAGGTGAAAGTGTTGAATGATGATGAAAGTATTTTCTTTTTGGGGATTTTCTTTCTTTTTGGGTCAGCCTGCCTCGGTGGAAGATGGCCGACTTGTTGGAAAAAAAAAAAAGTAGATCAAAGTTTTTTTTACAGGTTTTCAAATGTAAAAAAACAAAAAGAAGATCTACATTTTTTTACTTACTTTCAAATGTTGAAAAAACGTAATCTACGTTTGGACAGTTTAAGGGTTAAGTGTCTTGTCAGAAATTGAACACATGAAGGTGGCAGATAAATACGGAAATTTATACAAAATATAAAAATTAGACTAATGCAATAAATTTTACATGCATTATTAATAGATTTTCATATTTTTACTTCATAAAAAAAATCACAACCAAAAGCTCCCCCACATAAGAAATCTTAAATTTCTCAACGAAATTCTGCAATGATCACCAAGGCCAATTAACCTAGTCTGTAAATTACACCTACACCCTTATCACTATAAAGCCATTTTTGGCATCATATGCCACAATAGAAAATTGTGTGTTGTTAAGACTATGACAAAGGGACTTAGCCATCTTACCAGGTGGGCCATAGAATAAGACTCCCCTGGGGGGAGCAATTTTGAACCTCTCAAACACCTCAGGATAGAGCAGAGGAAAGATGATCATTTCCTTTAGAGCCTTCACATGATGTGAGAGACCACCAACAGCATCAAAATTAACTTCTCTATCCAAACTCATGGGGTCGATGTCTGCCAAGCTAGATCCAACTTTCACTCGTTCTCTGAAAGTTTTAGAAGAATTTAATGATGAACTGCCGACACTAGTGAGGAAAAGACAGGTTGCAGAACAAGTTTCTAGAAAGACGATACTTTGCCTTGTGTAGAGGTTTTCTTCAACCTATCTTTTCTTCACAAAGTTATAGAAGAGCCAGGTGGTGGGATAGAAATATATTTTAATTCTGCCAAAAACAAATATATTTATAATTAACACAATTATTATACAGTGGAACCCCAATTTTCATCCCGTCTGGTTATCGTACAATTCAGTTTTCAACCACTTTTTCGGCGAAATTTTCCCCGTTTTCGTACATCCACTTGGAAATTGTCCATACCAGACACATCCACCTGCCTGCAGGACACAGTCACTCTCATGTTCGTGACTCAGTCTGCCTTTGTTACTCATTCAGTGAGCATTAATCCTTGCATTCATCTGAAACATTTTGCAATAATCCATTGTTTTTTGTGCTTGTGACTGCTGAATAAGCCACAATAGGGTTGGAGGCGAGTGGCCAGGATATTTAAGAGTTGGTAGATGACCATAGGGAAGAGCTAACCACTAAAGAGCTACAAAACCTTCATCAGCAACAGACCTTAGCTAAGGAAATTGCTTCAGCTGAGGAAGAGAGAGGGGAGAGTGTGCCTCCTTCAACGATTGAGGACGTGTGTGCAAAGTGAAGTGAGGTACAAAGTTTTGTGGAGAAATATCACCCTAACAAAGCTGATGCAAGCCGTGTCAGCAACATGTTCAATGACAATGCCATGTCCCATTTTAGGCAAATCTTAAAGAGACACCAGAAACAAGCCTCTCTGGACAGATTTTTTGTGCAATAGGGGTTCAGTGACTCTCAAGCTGGTCCTAGTGCCAGTAAAAGACAAAGAAGGGAAGTAACCCCAGATAGGGCTTGATACCTGAAGCCCTTATAGAGGATGATTCCCCTTCCAAACAATAACCTCTCCTCCCTCTTCCCTCCTTGCAGTCTTCCATATGCCAACAAGAGTCTTCAATAAAGGTAAAAGTGATGTTAAATGTTCATTTATCCATTTCATTAGTGCTTTATATTTATTTCTCATTGTTTTCTGTATGTAAAACTAAAGTTATTCTCTATAAAATTTATGTTTTGTTAATATTTTTGAGTGTCTGGAATGGATTAATTGGATTTACATTATTTCTTATGGGAAATATTACTTCAGTTTTTGTACAAATCAGCTTTCAGCCAACCTTCTGGAACAGATTAAAGATGAAAACCGGGGTTCCACTGTACCAGTATCAAACACAAAGTGTTGGCTCAACCAAATGCACTTTGTAGAATGTTTTGAGAAAAGGAGGAGACTGTTGGACTAGTTAGCATGAGTGACTTTTTTATTAGCCTCAGTTGTTTATCTGCTGAATATCTGAATGTTTGAAAACAGGAGACAAATGAAACAGATTGACTCACAAAATCATAATAACACAATTTCAAATAAATCATAGTACAGATGGGGGTAGAACCCATGGCAAGTGAGTCATAAAACTCCAACTAGTTAAATGAATCTTATTGTAACCAGACAGGACAGTGCTTTACACACTGGCCTTAAGTTTTACAGCTCACTTACCATGAGTTCTAACCCCACCCATACCATGGTTTGTTTAAATGAAAGATCTTCTGAAGTAATGACAGTAGTGGCATTTTATTCTGCCAGACAGGACAAGTATCTCTTAACAAGGGTCTTTGTAAAATCAATACCCCTTAACTGGTAAAGCAACTGCTGACCTACTGGTGCCAGGTTTTACACTTCTATTAAAAACAAAAATTACCCTAAAATATTATGCGAAACTGTGAGAAGAATGAATCAAATAGCTCTCTTGTTAATACAGCAGAGAATCCTTTATCCGAAATTACAAAATCCAAAAACCTCCAAAATCTGAAAGTTTTTCGAGTGTTGACATGACCTGCTAGAGATGGATCATTCAGCACAAGACATGGTGGAGGCTCGATCCTCCGTCTGATGAGCTTCATATTTCTACTAGTGCCAGTTTGTTGTCAGCAGCAATTACTCACTGATTACTGCATGTTTTGTGCTCTGTGATGCGAAGATATTGTTGAAGATGCTGAAAAGGCCTATGGATAACACTGAAAAGAAAAAGAAAATATTATGTTTATCTATATCGCAGAAAGTCAAGCTCTTGGAAAAACTTGACTGCAGTGTAGGTGTGAAGCATCTGGCTGAGAAGTCTGGCATTGGAACAACCACTATCTACAACCCAAAGAAACAGAAGGACAAACTGTTAAAGTTCTATGCTAAAAATGATGAACAGAAGTCAATGAAAAATAGAAAAACATTGCTTAAAGAGAAAATGAAGATCTCAACTGTGTACTGATGGAGTGGATTTGTCAGCACTGGAGTGAACATACGCCACTTAAAGGAATGCTGATCATATTATTTTATTATTTTATTATCACACTGGCTGATTCCCACCAAGGAAGGGTGGCCCGAAAAAGAAAAACTTTCACCATCATTCACTCCATCACTTTCTTGCCAGAAGGGTGCTTTACACTACAGTTTTTAAACTGCAACATTAACACCCTTCCTTCAGAGTGCAGGCACTGTACTTCCCATCTCCAGGACTCAAAGTCCGGCCTGCCGGTTTCCCTGAATCCCTTAATAAATGTTACTTTGCTCACACTCCAACAGCATGTCAAGTATTAAAAACCATTTGTCTCCATTCACTCCTATCAAACACACTCACGCTTGCCCGCTGGAAGTCCAAGCCCCTCGCACACAAAACCTCCTTTACCCCTTCCCTCCAATCTTTCCTAGGCCGACCCCTACCCCACCTTCCTTCCACTACAGACTGATACACTCTTGAAGTCATTATGTTTCGCTCCATTCTCTCTACATGTCCAAACCACTTCAACAACCCTTCCTCAGCCCTCTGGGCAACAGTTTTGGCAATCCCGCACCTCCTCCTAACTTCCAAACTACGAATTCTCTGCATTATATTCACACCACACATTGCCCTCAGACATGACATCTCCACTACCTCCAGCCTTCTCCTCGCTGCAACATTCATCACCCATGCTTCACACCCATATAAGAGCGGTGGTAAAACTATACTCTCATACATTCCCCTCTTTGCCTCCAAGGACAAAGTTCTTTGTCTCCACAGACTCCTAAGTGCACCACTCATCCTTTTCCCCTCATCAATTATATGATTCACCTCATCTTTCATAGACCCATCCGCTGACACGTCCACTCCCAAATATCTGAATACATTCACCTCCTCCATACTCTCCCCCTCCAATCTGATATCCAATCTTTCATCACCTAATCTTTTTGTTATCCTCATAACCTTACTCTTTCCTGTATTCACTTTCAATTTTCTTCTTTTACATACCCTACCATATTCATCCACCAACCTCTGCAACTTCTCTTCAGAATCACCCAAGAGCACAGTGTCATCAACAAAGAGCAACTGTGACAACTCCCACTTTATGTGTGATTCTTTATCTTTTAATTCCACACCTCTTGCCAAGACCCTTGCATTTACTTCTCTTACAACCCCATATATAAATATATTGAACAACCACTGTGACATCACACATCCTTGTCTAAGGCCTACTTTTACTGGGAAATAATCTCCCTCTTTCCTACATACTCTAACTTGAGCCTCACTATCCTCGTAAAAACTCTTCACTGCTTTCAGTAACCTACCTCCTATACCATACATCTGCAACATCTGCCACATTGCCCCCTATCCACCCTGTCATACGCCTTTTCCAAATCCATAAATGCCACAAAAACCTCTTTAGCCTTATCTAAATACTGTTCACTTATATGTTTCACTGTAAACACCTGGTCCACACACCCCCTACCTTTCCTAAAGCCTCCTTGTTCATCTGCTATCCTATTCTCTGTCTTACTCTTAATTCTTTCAATAATAACTCTACCATACACTTTACCAGGTATACTCAACAGACTTATCCCCCTATAATATTACAAGTAAAAATCTATCATGATGAACTGAATATTGAAGGCAACTGTGAATATTCAGCAGGCTAGTAGAAAAAAAATTGAGAAAAGGTATGGCATTAAATATTTAAAGATTAGTGATCATAAAGCATCTGCTGATCATGAAGCAGCAGAGAAGTCCATTGATGTGTTTACCAAGATTGTTACTGAAGAAAATTGAACAATGCTGACAAGACAGCGCTGTTCTGGCACTATTGCTTGAGAAAAACACTGACTACAGCTGATGAGAGAGCTCCTACAGATGTTAAGGATGCCAAGGACAGATTAATTGTGCTGGGATGCAATAATGCAGCAAAGTTATGCAAAAGCTTGCATCCTCACTGTCTTAAAGATGTGAATACCTTACTAGTTCATTATGATGTTAACAAAAGGGCATGGTAGACCAGGGACATCTTCTCTGACTGGGTTCACCAACATTTTGTACCAGTGACTTGTGACTAGTGCAAGGAAGCTGGACTGGATGCAAAGTGCAAGATTTCATTATTCCTTGACAATTGTTGTGCTCATCCTACAGTTGAACTTCTCATCAAAAATAATGTTTATGGTATGGACTTTCCCCCAAATGCAACTTCATTAATTCAGTCATGTGACCAAGGCATCCTTAGATAAGAGACTAAATATACAGACAATTTCTTCAACAGCATGCTGGCAATGAACAGAGCATGGGTGTGAATTATTTCAAGAAAGAGTTTACTCTGAAGGGTGCCTTATATGCAGCTCCCAAAGCATGGAATCATGTAACTAGACACCCTTGCACATGCCTGGCACCTCTGGCCTGTGACTATGTTGAGTGATGATGATGGATAAAGTGATGAGGTTGAAGGATTCTCCATGTCAAGTGAGAAAAAGATGATGCCAGGCATCCATACATACATAAAAAGTATACTTTCAAAGCTCATCAGTAAACTGAAGGGAGTGGATATCGAAGAAGTTCTTAACATTGATAATGACGCTCCAGTTGTTCATTCAATGACCGATGGTGAAATAGCTGAAATGGTTCTGAATCAAGGTGATCGTGAAGATGACATTGTTTACACAGTTGAAAAGATGTTAACAGGCAACATGGTACAAATGTGTGATGAACTCACTGAAGGACTAAAGCAGTGTGCAGTCATAAGAGAACAAGAAATCACGTCATTTTATCAAGGCAGATGACACTGGAAGAATTGAAAAAAAAAAAAAATCATCCCTAGAGGATCCACTTCCAGGTCTCTCAACTGCTTCTAATTTGTGTTGTGCAATGTGATGTTATCGATGATGTACCCTCTCCCTCAAGTTTCTCAAAACCTGGTGTAGTTGTAGTGTCTGGGCCTGCATTTATCTTTTTTTTTTTTTTTTTTTTTTTTTTTTTTGAGGACTGTACTGTACAGTACATGTACAGTACCATGTTTAGACTTGGGTCCCATCCCCAAGCTGTCCCATTTTATAGATGCAAACATACAATTCCAAAATCCGAAACACTTCTGGCCCCAAGCATTTTGGATAAAGGATTCTCAACTGTACAAGGAAACAAACCATGTTATGGAGTTTATATGGAAAATTTTACTTATGCTGAAAACTATAAGGATCTCCTGAATCGTGTATCAGTACGTGTGATCCAAAAGCAAACAAATTCCAAGAAAAATGGGCAACTTTTATACTTACTTTAAAGTTCCCGAAAGCAAATCTTTTTGAGTCAAATTCATAGGTAGGCAGCGGTTTCGTGACTTGGCCATACTTCTAGCTTTGCGTTCTTCAAACTGAGCTTCATCTGAACTACTGCTACTGCTACTAGATGTATTATGAGTTGCCTGAAGATAAATAAACAAAATTTATTATATATAAAACTCTCGTGAAGCCAATGTACTCTAGGTCACAAACTTTCAAATGCTCCAAATTGCACACATTTACTCTTACAAACTGAGCATTTAGGAACTATATTTTGAAAAGGCAGAGTTGTAGTACGAACATGTATAGTTTATCTGAGCGAGCTGAGCTCATGACACAGAACTACGTCAGGAATCCTGGCCTCAGTGACGTAGTTCTATGTGATGGACAGTGAAAGGGTTAAACACCTCTATTTAAATATAATTTAAACATCCACTACTGTCAGTTATGGAAGATACTTCAAACATTCTTCCACTACAATCTTCCATTATTGCATTAATAGTCCACAACAATCTCTCCATTTCTGCATTAATGATTTTCAAAATAAGTACAGTTATATCTCATGTGGTTCAACATTTCTTAAATTTTCAATAAATCCCTCCCAAAATCTCTCTCTCTTATGATCATCTCTCACCTCCAGGTGCACAAACTGTATATTCTCCATTTCTTACATCCCATTTTCATTCTAAACCACAAAGTTCCTGAATTCAAATATTCGTATCCATTTAGTTCTTTCCCTAACTGTTCATTCAATAGTTTATTCATTCAACAGTTTAGTCATTCAACAGTTTAGTCATTCAATAATTCAGTCATTCAACAGTTTAGGCATTCAATAGTTTACTCTTGCTGATACCAAGAACAATAGTGTAATAATAGTACTTACCCTACGTTTATGATGAAATACATGTTTTCTTGCTGGAGAGTTAAGATACCTCTTGTGATTCCTACGATGTCTTCTAGGAGGAGAGTCCTCGTGATATCCAATCGATCGTGATGACTTTTCTGTGATTATGTTATAAAACAAAAATAAGATGATGAAGGATTTACCATGCTAAAAAAAAAAAAGAAAAACTTTATAAAACTGGGATGCTTGAATGTGTGTGGGTGTAGTGCGGATGACAAGAAACAGATGATTGCTGATGTTATGAATGAAAAGAAGTTGGATGTCCTGGCCCAAAGCGAAACAAAGCTGAAGGAGGTAGAGGAGTTTCGGTGGGGGGAAATAAATGGGATTAAATCTGGAGTATCTGAGAGAGTTAGAGCAAAGGAAGGGGTAGCAGTAATGTTGAAGGATCAGTTATGGAAGGAGAAAAGAGAATATGAATGTGTAAATTCAAGAATTATGTGGATTAAAGTAAAGGTTGGATGCGAAAAGTGGGTCATAATAAGCGTGTATGCACCTGGAGAAGAGAGGAATGTAGAGGAGAGAGAGAGATTTTGGAGATGTTAAGTGAATGTAATAGGAGCCTTTGAACCAAGTGAGAGAGTAATTATGGTAGGGGACCTGAATGCTAAAGTAGGAGAAACTTTTAGAGAGGGTGTGGTAGGTAAGTTTGGGGTGCCAGGTGTTAATGATAATGGGAGCCCTTTGATTGAACTTTGTATAGAAAGGGGTTTAGTTACAGGTAATACATAGTTTAAGAAAAAGAGGATAAATAAGTATAAAAGATATGATGTAGGGCAAAATGACAGTAGTTTGTTGGATTATGTATTGGTAGATAAAAGACTGTTGAGTAGACTTCAGGATGTACATGTTTATAGAGGGGCCACAGATATATCAGATCACTTTCTAGTTGTAGCTACACTGGGAGTAAAAGGTAGATGGGATACAAGGAGAATAGAAGCATCAGGGAAGAGAGAGGTGAAGGTTTATAAACTAAAAGAGGAGGCAGTTAAGGAAAGATATAAACAGCTATTGGAGGATAGATGGGCTAATGAGAGCATAGGCAATGGGGTCGAAGACGTATGGGGTAGGTTTAAAAATGTAATGTTAGAGTTTCAGCAGAAGTTTGTGGTTACTGGAAAGTGGGAGCGGGAGGGAAGAGGAGCGATTGGTGAAATGATGATGTAAAGAGAGTTAGCATATTAGAAGTTTTTACAAAGTAGAAGTGATGCAAGGAGGGAAGAGTATATGGAGAAAAAGAGAGAGGTTAAGAGAGTGGTGAAGCAATGTAAAAAGAGAGCAAATGAGAGAGTGGGTGAGATGTTATCAACAAATTTTGTTGAAAATAAGAAAAAGTTTTGGAGTGAGATTAACAAGTTAAGGAAGCCTAGAGAACAAATGGATTTGTCAGTTAAAAATAGGAGAGGAGAGTTATTAAATGGAGAGTTAGAGGTATTGGGAAGATGGAGGGAATATTTTGAGGAATTGTTAAATGTTGTTGAAGATAGGGAAGCTGTGATTTCGTGTATAGGGCAAGGAGGAATAACATCTTGTAGGAGTGAGGAAGAGCCGGTTGTGAATGTGGGGGAAGTTCGTGAGGCAATATGTAAAATGAAAGGGGGTAAGGCAGCCGGGATTGATGGGATAAAGATAGAAATGTTAAAAGCAGGTGGGGATATAGTTTTGGAGTGGTTGGTGCAATTATTTAATAAATGTATGGAAGAGGGTAACGTACCTAGGGATTGGCAAAGAGCATGCATAGTTCCTTTGTATAAAGGCAAAGGGGACAAAAGAGAGTGCAAAAATTATAGGGGGATAAGTCTGTTGAGTATACCTGGTAAAGTGTATGGTAGAGCTATTATTGAAAGAATTAAGAGTAAGACAGAGAATAGGATAGCAGATGAACAAGGAGGCTTAAGGAAAGGTAGGGGGTGTGTGGACCAGGTGTTTACAGTGAAACATATAAGTGAACAGTATTTAGATAAGGCTAAAGAGGTTTTTGTGGTATTTATGGATTTGGAAAATGCGTATGACAGGGTGGATAGGGGGGCAATGTGGCAGATGTTGCAGGTGTATGGTGTAGGAGGTAGGTTACTGAAAGCAGTGAAGAGTTTTTACGAGGATAGTGAGGCTCAAGTTAGAGTAGGTAGGAAAGAGGGAAATTATTTCCCAGTAAAAGTAGGCCTTAGACAAGGATGTGTGATGTCACAGTGGTTGTTCAATATATTTATAGATGGGGTTGTAAGAGAAGTAAATGCGAGGGTCTTGGCAAGAGGCATGGAGTTAAAAGATAAAGAATCACACATAAAGTGGGAGTTGTCACAGTTGCTCTTTGCTGATGACACTGTGCTCTTGGGAGATTCTGAAGAGAAGTTGCAGAGATTGGTGGACGAATTTGGTAGGGTGTGCAAAAGAAGAAAATTAAAAGTGAATACAGGAAAGAGTAAGATTATGAGGATAACAAAAAGATTAGGTGATGAAAGATTGGATATCAGATTGGAGAGAGAGAGTATGGAGGAGGTGAATGTATTCAGATATTTGGGAGTGGACGTGTCAGCGGATGGGTCTATGAAAGATGAGGTGAATCATAGAATTGATGAGGGGAAAAGGGTGAGTGGTGCACTTAGGAGTCTGTGGGGACAAAGAACTTTGTCCTTGGAGGCAAAGAGGGGAATGTATGAGAGTATAGTTTTACCAATGCTCTTATATGGGTGTGAAGCATGGGTGATGAATGTTGCAGAGAGGAGAAGGCTGGAGGCAGTGGAGATGTCATGTCTGAGGGCAATGTGTGGTGTGAATATAACGGAGAGAATTCATAGTTTGGAAGTTAGGAGGAGGTGCGGGATTACCAAAACTTTTGTCCAGAGGGCTGAGGAAGGGTTGTTGAGGTGGTTCGGACATGTAGAGAGAATGGAGCGAAACAGAGTGACTTCAAGAGTGTATCAGTCTGTAGAGGAAGGAAGGCGGGGTAGGGGTCGGCCTAGGAAAGGTTGGAGGGGAGGGGTAAAGGAGGTTTTGTGTGCGAGGGGCTTGGACTTCCAGCAGGCATGCGTGAGCATGTTTGATAGGAGTGAATGGAGACAAATGGTTTTTAATACTTGACGTGCTGTTGGAGTGTGAGCAAAGTAACATTTATGAAGGGGTTCAGGGAAACCAGCAGGCCGGACTTGAGTCCTGGAGATGGGAAGAACAGTGTCTGCACTCTGAAGGAGGGGTGTTAATGTTGCAGTTTAAAAACTGGAGTGTAAAGCACCCTTCTGGCAAGACAGTGATGGAGTGAATGATGGTGAAAATTTTTCTTTTTTGGGCCACCCTGCCTTGGTGGGAATCGGCCAGTGTGATAATAATAATAAAAGAAGAGCAGATGATAAAGTGGGAGAGGCACTGTCAAGAAATTTTAATGAAAATAAGAAAAAATTTTGGAGTTAAACAAGTTAAGAAAGCCTAGAGAAAGTATGGATTTGTCAGTTAAAATCAGAGTAGGGAAGTTAGTAGATGGGGAGAGGGAGGTATTAGGTAGATGGCGAGAACATTTTGAGGAACTTTTAAATGTTGAGGAAGAAAGGGAGACTGTAATTTCATGCACTGGCCAGGGAGGTATACCATCTTTTAGGAGTGAAGAAGAGCAGAATGTAAGTGTGGTGGAGGTACGTGAGGCATTACGTAGAATGAAAGGGGGTAAAGCAGCTGGAACTGATGGGATCATGACAGAAATGTTAAAAGCAGGGGGGGATACAGTGTTGAAGTGGTTGGTACTTTTGTTTAATAAATGTATGAAAGAGGGGAAGGTACCTAGGGATTGGTGGAGAGCATGTATAATCCCTTTATATGAAGGGAAAGGGGACAAAAGAGATAGTAAAAATTACAGAGGAATAAGTTTACTGAGTATACCAGGAAAAGTATACGGTAGGGTTATAATTGAAAGAATTAGAGGTAAGACAGAACGTAGGATTGCGGATGAGCAGGGAGGCTTCAGAGTGGGTAGGGGATGTGTAGATTAAGTGTTTACATTGAAGCATATATGTGAACAGTACAGTGGACCCCCGGTTAACGATATTTTTTCATTCCAGAAGTATGGTCAGGTGCCAGTACTGACCGAATTTTTTCCCATAAGGAATATTGTGAAGTACGTTAGTCCATTTCAGACCCCCAAACATACACGTACAAATGCACTTACATAAATACACTTACATAATTGGTCGCATTTGGAGGTGATCGTTAAGCGGGGGTCCACTGTATTTAGATAAAGGTAGGGAAGTTTTTATTGCATTTATGGATTTAGAAAAGGCATATGATAGAGTGGATAGAGGAGCAATGTGGCAGATGTTGCAAGTATATGGAATAGGCGGTAAGTTACTAAATGCTGTAAAGAGTTTTTATGAGGATAGTGAGGCTCAGGTTAGGGTGTGTAGAAGAGAGGGACAATACTTCCCGATACAAGTAGGTCTTAGACAGGGATGCGTAATGTCACCATGGTTGTTTAATATATTTATAGATGGGGTTGTAAAAGAAGTAAATGCTAGGGTGTTCAGGAGAGGGGTGGGATTAAATTATGGGGAATCAAATTCAAAATGGGAATTGACACAGTTACTTTTTGCTGATGATACTGTGCTTATGGGAGATTCTAAAGAAAAATTGCGAAGGTTAGTGGATGAGTTTAGGAATGTGTGTAAAGGTAGAAAGTTGAAAGTGAACATAGAAAAGAGTAAGGTGATGAGGGTATCAAATGATTTAGATAAAGAAAAATTGGATATCAAATTGGGGAGGAGGAGTATGGAAGAAGTGAATGTTTTCAGATACTTGGGAGTTGACGTGTCGGCGGATGGATTTATGAAGGATGAGGTTAATCATAGAATTCATGAGGGAAAAAAGGTGAGTGGTGCGTTGAGGTATATGTGGAGTCAAAAAAAACGTTATCTATGGAGGCAAAGAAGGGAATGTATGAAAATATAGTGGTACCAACACTCTTATATGGATGTGAAGCTTGGGTGGTAAATGCAGCAGCAAGGAGACGGTTGGAGGCAGTGGAGATGTCCTGTCTAAGGGCAATGTGTGGTGTAAATATTATGCAGAAAATTCAGAGTGTGGAAATTAGGAGAAGGTGTGGAGTTAATAAAAG